TAATAAACTCTCCACTACAGTATCTGAAAAAACTGCACCCTAGCAGTCACTGGATATTACAGAATGGGGTGGGAGCTCCCCCAAATGTCCCATACTCTGAGAATTGTCACTTTTTATTTTATTTTTTAATTGTTGTTCAAGTACAGTTGTCTGCATTTCCCACCACCACTCTACCCCACCCCAACCATCCCCATGTCCCTCCCCTGATCCCACCCCCTCTTGGTTTTTTCCCTGTGTCCTTCGTCACTTTTTGACCTGCCTGGAAATTCCCACTTGTAAAGCTCTTTTTTATTTGACCTTACTCAGAGAACACTCCCTGTGAACAGCCTTTTCAGGGAGCATTCATTAGCTGCAATTGTTTAAAATCACAGCTGCCTAAGATGGGAGAAACATTTGGGGCAAACAAAGCTACTTAAAGCATTAAAAGGAAAAGCTGGAAAATTAATGTCCATAGGAGACTATGAAAGGCTCCAACATATTTCTAGTTGTCTCTAAAGCCAGGTACATGTTCAGGACAGTGTGTATTCTCAAAAAAAAAAAAAAAAGACCCGAAAAGCTCCTAAAATCTCACCTCTGGTTAGCCTTGAGGCCTTGTGCAAGCAGCAAATGAAAGCTAAGACATAGTTGTAAACTACCTGACAGAACATCGAAATTTTGCCCCAGCACACACACAGAGCCCTCAGCAAAGGCTGGGAGACTTATTGAATCAAGGCATTCAAGGAAATGTAGAATAATTGTCCTTCAAGTACTGAGGATAAATCAAGACAATTTCTAGGTAAACAAAGACAGATTATTCATTACTAAAAAAACATGTCCTACAAGAAATACTAAAGAAAGTCTTTCAGGGAGAAATGAAAGGACAACAGACAGTAATTCAAATCCCCATAAGAAATAAAAACATTGGTAAAAATTAATTTTTGTACTCTTCTTCTATAACCCAATTCAAAAGACAACTGCAGGAAGTAGTAATTGCAAAAATGTGTTGATGGACTTATATATAATGATGTAATTTGTATGTCAATAAGAGCACAAAGGGAGGGTAGAAAGGTACAGTGCTATATTATGACAAAATGTATATATACAATAGAAATTAAGTTGATATTAACTCAAAGTAGATTGTATTAAGCATTGTTGATTATAATCTACAGGGAAAACACTAAGAAAATAACTCAAAATAAATTAGTAAGAATACAATAAGGGAATTAAAATGATATACTGGAAATATGCTCTGTTCAGAAATCAAGGGATAAAGGAACAAAAATGATATAAGACAAATACAAAATAGCAAAATGGGATATAATTCCCACATTCCTAGTAATTGCATTAAATGTAAATAAATTAAAAACTCCAATGAAAATGTGGAGACTGGTAGAATAAAGATGAAAACACGATCCCATTCTATGCTGTTTGAAAGAGACAAAATTTAGATTCAAAGACACAAATACATTGAAAGTAAAGAGATGAAAAAAGACTTATGCAGTTAGTAACCAAAAGGGAGTTGGAGTGACTATACTAATATCAAAAAAATAGAATTTACACTGTATTGAGTGTTTACCACCTCAAGCTGAGTTTCCTTCTATTATCATTTATCCCGCCTAGGCACTCCTGCAACTCCACACACACCCTCTCCCCGGCAATCACCACACTGTTGTGTGTGTCCATAAGTTTTTTCTCTTTTTCTCTTTTTTGCTCAATCCCTCCATTCCCCCCAAACCAGTGCCCCCAACCTACACCTGTCAGCATGCTATCTATGATTCTGTCTCTATTTTACTTGTTAGTTTACTTTGTTCTTTAGATTTCACATATGAGTGAAATAATATGGTATTTGTCTTTCTCTAACTGGCTTATTTTACTTAATATAATGTTCTCCAGGTCCATCCATGCTGTTGCAAAGGGTAGGTGTCCTATAGTCATTGAAGGCCAGGCAGGTTCACATGGGATTCAGGCAGATGGAATAAAATTTGCAGAGCTGGTGAGATGTCTGACATGCCTTTATTCTGGAGTAAAGCAATCCTTGTTCCCTGCAAGCCAAGAGATGTACTGTAGGAAGAGCTGACTCCCTTATATACGAAGTGCACACAAAGTGCCAATATTGACCTTCTAGTTATGTAACAGAACTTCATTTTACACATGTGGGCACTTACTCAAGGCCATATGAATGCTGCCAAGCCACAGTTGCCCAGACACCTGTGTGAGGGAGCCTGACTGACTCCATTTTCCCTACAGTAGGATTCCTTTTGTTTTGTGGCTGAGTAGTATTCCATTGTGTAAAGGTAACAGCTTTTTTTTATCCACTTATCTACTGATGGACACATGGGCTGCTTTCAAATTTTGGCTATCGTAAATAATGCTGTGATGACCCCAATAAATTCAATAGAAAGGAAAAAAAGAAAAAATAACATTCCCTCAAAAGAGAAAAATATAGACTTCAAGACAAAAAATTGTTACTAGAGACAAAGAAGTACATTTTATAATGATAAAAAGGTCAATACATCCAAAAACATAGTTATAAATATATATGCACTTTAACAATAGAGCACCCAAATACATGAAACAAAAATAATGACTGAATTGAAGGGAGAAATAAACAATTCAACTATAATAGTTGAAGACTTAAATACCCTGGACCTTTAATAATGGATAGAAAAACTAGGCAAAAAATCAATAAGGAAAAAGAAGATTTGAATAATACTACAAACAATTACATATCTCCAAAGTATTCCATACAACAACAGTAGGATATAAATTCTTCTCAAACATTCTGCAAGGTTGATCATATATTAGGTCATAAAACAAGTCTCAAGAAATCTAAAAGTACTGAAATTATACAGAATATGTTCTTTAACTATAGTGTAACTAAATTAGAAAGCAATAACAAAGATATTTGGGAAATTCACAATGTAAAAATTAAACAAGGCACTGCTAATAGACAATGAAGAAATTGTAAGGAGTACTAGCAAATACTCTTAAGATAAATAAAAATGAAATAAATAATATAGCAGAAGTTACAGGATCCAGCTAATGCAGTGCTCAGAAGGAAATTTACATGACATGTTCAGTATGTGCTAACTCATAGGAAACAGATAGTAGTAGATTAGTGGCTGCCAGGGCAGGGAAGTGGAGGGGAAAGGGCTCTGACTACCAATGGGTGATGAATATATTCCTGCAAAAATGTGTTACTATATATACTAAGAACCATTAAACTGTACACATTAAAAAGGTGTATATTGTAGTATGTGAAATATATCTGAAGAAGTGCTTATTTTTTTAAAAAATAGTAGTTTTGAAAATCTCTTACATCAACAATTAAATACTATTTATGTGATTTCTGAGTATGAAACCCTATACAGTGATATGCAAGTATATGCATATAGTAATATTCATCGTGTAATGACATGTACAAATATGAGAAAGTTTTGTAGCAGTTTTTTCCTATGATTCCATTGTAACTATTGATGAATTCCACAAGTTAAATTTACATAAAATACAAATCACTGTAGTAGATTGAGGTCAGAATTAGGATTCAGTAGATCTAGGTTCTAGACCTAGTTTGCCATTTAACTTCCCCCTTTTAGAGCCTTTGTTCCTATATCTGAAAATAGTGGCATATGTGGACTATAAAATCTTAAGGGTTCCTTGTAGCTCTAAAATTCTGTAAAATATAATTCAGATAATTTCATTTTGGTTTTCCTTAGTTATACCAAAGCAAGGGAAATGAAACAGACACTGCCAAGTTAGTTCCCTGGACATTTTCCAAGCAGTACAAAAGGCCTTTTCTTTTTTAAAAATACTTTGTTTATTTATTTTTAGAGACAGGGGAAAGGAGAGTGAGAGGGAAAGTCACATTACTGTGTGGTTGCCTCTTGCATGCTCCCAACCAGGGACCTGGCATGCAATGCCCTGAGTGGGAACTGAACCAGCGACCCTTTGGTCTGCAGGCCAGCTCTCAATCCACTGAGCCATACCAGCCAGGGCCAAAAAGGCCTTTTCATTATGGAGACCACTTTGAGTCTAACCACCATGTACCACTGAGCTTCAGCATTCACCTCTGCTCTTAATTGTTCATGGAACAGACCCTTCAGTGTAGTTGGTTGGCTGGTGGAAATAATTATCTGAGAAAATTGTTCCAGTCTCTTATCTCAGAGGACAGGGAGATAGGCCTCAGGGCAAAATTTTGAGTAGGCTCCACTAGCAGCTGCTATGATTTGGAATGGGTAGGGTATGATGAAGGCTATGGAGAGAATCCATATAACTAGGCCTAAGTATGAACTTCTGTTCTCCATCAATTTATTTAATATTCAAAATATACTTCCTTGTATGGGTAGAACAATGTTCAGGAAAATGAATTATCTCAGCATTCTGTTTTTTTATTGATATGTAGAAATACAGAAACACAAGTGTTGCTTAACGATACCAATAATTTGCACCTGAAATTCATTTGCTAAGTCCCTTGGAGCCCTACAGAACAAAATGTTTGTAACAAATACAGCTGTGCTGGCTATACTCTTGCATTAGATAAAAAAATCTTGGTCTCTGGTCCAAGATGCTTATAGTGTGAGTGAAGTCAGAGAGAAGTTTTGAGAAACCTGGCTTCCAGTTTGGGTTTACTTTGCCTCAAATATGCCCTGAGCCTTTCTGATGATATGGTTTTGTTTTTGCTGATTTTTTTAAAGCTGTAATTTCCTGTTCTCTTCACCAGCCATCAAATGCCTACCCAGGCTTAAAGGCCCCACTTAAAAGTCACGTAATCTGTAAAGCTTTCCTTGTCTTCCACCCTCTTTTGTGCTCCTGCAGTCCTTTTGTTTGCTCTTGATTACACTACCAAAATCCACTTACAGTGGTGTCCGTGATTTAAGGGTCAGGACTCTCCTTTATTCACCCAAACTCTCTCCCCAAGCACTTACTGGATGACCCCCCAAAAAAAGTCTGGAAATGCAGAGGAAAAATATATTTAAATAATATTAGTTATATTTATAAATAGTATGTCTAATATATTTTCTTCAATCTCCAGACAACTCTGCAAGCAAAATGCCTCCAAATTTAAAGCCATGAGTACAAATACTGATCTGGAAAAAATATAAAAATAAATGAAAAATGTTCCCTATGTTTCCAAGCTTCTTGGACATCTTTAATATGTTACCTTTTCCAAATTGTTGAATCATATTTGGACTTCTTTAACCTCAGCTCTTCCTTTTTCTCATCTGTAAAATAGAAATGCTACCTGCCCTATCTTTTTCACGAGGTTATCACAAGAGTAAATGAGAAAATGGCTATGCAAAGCATGAAATGTGCTTTGTGCTATGCAGCACAAAAATGTAAAATGTTGTTCTCATTAACTATATGAAGATTTACTTTGTGTCCATATTGTAGCACTTGAGTATGTGGACTTTGGCTAACCTTATCTCAGCTGCATTAAAGATAATTCTCCATGAGCTGCTTAAGAGAGGAAACCAAAAGGTTGATTATAGCTCTGGGCCCTGCCACAGCCATCAAAAGTTACAAAAGGGATGCTGGGACTTCAAGTTTGTTTCCAATTGCACAGGAGGAAAGTCATGGCCTTAGCCACCTGCTTCCTTTCTCCACTATGACTTCCTTTTAGGTCCACTTGGATGGACATTCAGATGAGATCTGCTTAGGCCCACTACCCGAGGACCTTAATAGGGCTAAAGTTCAGGTAGCTGTGTGAAAGGAGGAGCAAGAAGCCAAGACCTGAGCCCCAGGGGACTGAGCCAAGGTCACAAGATTCTTTTTAGCTTATTTAGAAAAACCAGTTTACTTTCCATCATTGATGGCCTAAGCATGAGGCTCTTGTTTCCTGGTAGGATGCACTGAGAGGCACAGAATCACTACTATGACACTTGTGCTTAAATGCACAATCTGAATTTAATCACAAGGAAATAACAGACAAACCTAAATCAAAAAACACTCCACCAAATAACTGGCCTGTACTCCTCAATTCTACAATACACTATTCTAAAAGGTTTTTTTAAAAAACACTGAGGAACTTTAATAAATTAAAGAATACTAAAGAGACATTACAACTAAAGACAATGTGTCATCCTGGATTGGATTCTGGACCAAAAAAAAGAAAGTTATTAGGGCAATCGATAACATTTGAATATGGATTGTAGAGTATATAATAGTATCACAACAGTGCAAATTTTCTGATTTTGATAATTATAATGTGTTTATGAAAGAAAATGTTCTTATTCTTAGGAAATATACACTAAAGTATTAGGAAGTTAAACAGCATGAAGTCTGCAATTTAGCAACTTAATCCAAGATGGTTAAAATATTGTAAAATATGTGTATGTGCATGTGTGTGTGTGTGTGTGTGTGTGTGTGTAAAGAGAGAGAAAAATAGAGGGAGGGAGAGAGACAGAACACAAAAAATAAAGTCAATGGTGCAAAATATATGCAACTGGTCAATTCGTGTATAGATTATACAGAAATTCTTTATTATTCTTTCAACTTTTTGGTAAATTTGGGATGATATCAAAGTGATAAATTTAAAAATTAGTGAGAATTATACCAAAACATAATTTTTTAAAAACTTTGTTCCAAAAATTATATAATTCATTATTTAATGTTTGTTTGCTTAGCTGTCATAAAAACAGTTTATTTAAAAATAAATTGAAACACTGAATATCCCACAGTGAAGAGATGAGGGTATGACAATCTTGCCATCTATATCTTGTTCTAGTCCTTCAGTTGTTGAACTATATTTTAGAATGAAGTCCTAAATAAATAAATAAATAAATAAATAAATAACACAAATAGCCTGCAAAGGCAACCAGGAGAAATAGTTTAACAACACCAGTACTCACCTCAGTGGGCTTATGAATTGAGCACTCAGCCTAAATGAACTGAACATACATGTGAAAAGCAGAGAACTCAAGTGTGCATACCAAGTAAATGCCCATGTTGCTCCCAGTTTTTTGGTGAAGGTACTAATGTAAGTTGCTGGTGTAGCTCACACTTTCCAGGAAAAAATTAAGGACAGAAATGCATAAGGAAAAGATAAAGTAAGAAGTAATGCAGCATAGGATGTTCTGTGTAGACAGTGGAACAATAGAAGTAAGCTATTCCCCATCTTCGAATGTCCACACTAACAAGCTTTGCTGCTCAGAAGAATAACTGACAGCTGACTGTGAAAGCAATTTTCATCCACCTCACAATCTCTGGGTAGTGTTGGCTATAAAGACAGTTGAGCAACTCCTCCTTTGGGGAAACCAAATAGCTCAGCAGGACAATTAGGAGGTCCTGGTCAGGGTCAGTACCAGCAGTTAAAAGAGGCACTAAAGGAATGCAACAGACATTAGGAATGATGGAGCAGGTAATGGTCAGATTAACCAGGAAATTAAAACCCTGATGCAGAGAGAAGGAAATGAAAATGGATGTCAGACAGTAGTGTGCTGTTAAATATTTAACCACTGACTTTATGTGGGAAAAAACAATCTTGATATGTAATCTTTGCTGATTTCCATGGTGTAAATCTTCCCACCACAGCAGCATTCTAGTTAACAACACAATGCTACTGAACACTGAGTTGGGAAGCAATGTACAATCAAGTCTCATGACCTAGTGCAAACTGACTCTAGCATACTGCTGGCAGTGACCTGGGTACCAGTCTTCTGTCTGCTACTACCTAGCTATGTTATCCTACTAAGTGACTTAATGATTCTAGGTTGCAACTTCCTCATCTGTAAAATATTAACCTCACAAGATCACTGAGAGAATCAAATGAAGCTAGTTTATTTCCATCCAAGATCTCCAGTTCTGACTATTTATGGTTCTGTGATAAAGTTGGCCACATTGGTGGCTGTTGCCTTTTCTCATATCATACCAAGTCTTGTGAACAGGCAAAAGACAAGAGAATCCTACAGGAAGCTGCTCTAGAGTGTGGTAATCAGAGCAGAAACCACATTTACATCACCTCAGAGATGACATCCAAGGCAGTGACCACTCCAGATTTTCTATACTGGAGACATTTCAAAGTGGAGATCTATTTGGGAAGTGGAGCTAGAGAATCTAACACTTCTGTTATTTTAATGTTATATTTATTTGAGATGACTTAGAAGTGTACCATGGTGCCTAAGGCCAATGCAATATATATGCTTTTTCTCCTATGTTGTACCAGACTATGCCTGGTAAAGAATACATAGAGAAATTATGGTTTGTTCATATTTTGATGTCCAGCAAATCTAAAGTAACTCAGTGCTAACTTTCTTTGATTGCTATATATTTATGTCATTCCATTGGCTGGTGCCTGGAGGACATAAATTGACTTTAAGGCCCTCTTTGCTATGCCTCTGAACTAGACAAGTGCTCAACCCATCCCCTGAGCCATTATTTAGTGACTATTAACTCAGAATGTGTTTTTGAGACCTCTGTACCTCTTCCTTTTGGTTAAATGTAATCTGGAGTAAATAAATAAGGGATCAGAGGTACAAATAAAAGGGACTGGAAGCTTGGCCCCTGCTGGGATTCCCAGGGTTTCATGCAGATGGACCACATGAAAGGCAATTCTGGCCTTGATGTGCTGTTGAAGTTGATGAAAGAAAACTCATCCAGCTAATCACAGAAGTCCAAAGTGCAAAGGTGTTTAGTAAGGTATAAGAGACATAATACCTTGTGCTTCCGGAGGCTGCCGGGACTGGTGGGCGTAGAGATGGGTGACTGCTTAGACTTTGGGGTAGAGAGCTGGCTGCTGGAGGTTCCATTTGCTAGCCCAAGGCAAGAGAAAAGGAAGGGATAAAAATCAATAGCATACAAAAAAAACCCCAACTTATCCTTCCCCTCTGAAAACACCAAGGACACTGAAACAAGGCACACATATAAACAAATGATAAGATGAGTAGGACAAAGGTAGAAAGAAACATATTCCTCAGAAAGATAAGAAGTGCAATCCTCAAGATAATTAGAACCCTGAGCAGTGCAAGGCAGCAATCTTCCCACCGTTTCCCCTGAGTGCTTCCAATTACAGGATCTGGTTCTTTTCAAACCTTTTTCATATTCATTACCAAGTTTGACCCTAACACCATTTCTGTGAGATAGTCTGGGAACACATTTTTTTTGTTTCAATTTTGTGAGAAAATTTGTGCCTTGCTTTAAATGAGAGGAAATATGGGTGGTTTGGACCAGGGCATATCCGTTTTGGTGACAGATGATGTGGGACATGCAGGACAGCCCCATTGTCAATCTCTCCCTACTCTCTCTTTTCCTGATCAATTTATTGCCCTCTACATACACACAAACACACACACACTCTCTTTCTCTTCCCTGCCTCATCCTAGGCAAAAATATCAGAAGGAAAGAAAGAGAAGGAGGCTAATCAGGGAGAGTAAAAAGTATAGGAAAAACACAGAATGAAAAATAAAGAAAAGCTCACACAGCAAAATGAAGGGAGGAGAGAAATAAAAAATAAGTGAGAGAGATGCCCTGGCTGGTGTGGATCAGTGGTTGAGCACTGGCCTGAGAATTATAGGGTCGCTGGACGGATTCCCAGTTAGAGCACATGCCTGGGTTTCTGGCCAGGTCCCCAGCTGGGGGCACGTGAGAGACAAGCACACACTGATGTTTCCCTCCCTCTCTTTCTCCCTCCCTTCTCCTCTGTCCATAAATAAATAAAATCTTTAAAAAATAAGTGAGAGAAACAAACAAAGAATGGAGGATAGGGGAGACAGGGAGATAGGGTAAGAGATTAGGAGAAGAGAAGAATGAAGAAATTTGAATAAGGACAGAAACAGACAGTCAAAAAAGGTGGCCAAAGTCAAAGTGCACTCCAATTTGTCTCCAGTCAATAAAATGCTAAAAATGAGAGATTTAGTATTAAAAATCTTCATATTCAGTTGTGTTTGCAATTATTTTATGTTCCCTTGCTAATGATGTTTTCAAATATCCAATCAATTAAAAAGAAATGCAATGCATTGAATAGGACAATTAAACAGCTTTCAAAGTTGATTCATGTTCAGATATCTCATGCTAAAATTATATTTTTAATCTAAGCACCTGCATTATTTATCAGAGATATTCTGAAAGGTGCTTTACAGATAAAGGCAAATATGCCAATGGTGTGAGGATAGGGGAAGAGGGAGGGAGAAGGAAAGAAAAAGAAGAAGGGAAGGCAGGAGTGAGGGAGGATAAGGAGAGAGAGAGAGAGAGAGAGAGAGAGAGAGAGAGAAAGAGAGAGAGAATAAAAAATTGAAAAAGTTAAGCAGGATCATGGCCCAAGTGTACTGCCAATAGTCCCACAGGTAAAGCACAAACTGCTGTGTTGTAAATATTTTCTGAGGGTATATTTCTTCTACACCACTTATGGTAATGTTTCCCTAGATTCTGTGACCTGCATACCAATTGTAGAGATGGAATGGACATTGGTGTTTTGTTTGCTGCATTTAACCAACTGCAAGTGAGCTGAAAAATGGGGACTTAGGCATCCACTGTCTGGCTTTGCCTGTGTATTCACTCATCTATTAAGCATTCATTGAGAGACATTTCTCTCTGGTACAGCTTTCTGGAAATCACTCATTCATGTGGCCAATCATTACAGGGCACTTTCTCTAAGCTAGGCCAAGCATTAGACATTGGAGTTTCAGAGATGAGTAAATTACTTCCTGTAGGGAGATAAGCAAGGACACAGTGGGCTAAGTGCTATGAAAAACCCATGTAAGGGTATTACTGGAGCTCAGAAGAAAGGCTTTGAAATCAGGGAACTGGGAAATAAACAAGAGGAGGCAACACCTGAAAAAGGCTTGAAAATGACTGGAATAGACAGATTTATAGAAACAGGAGGTACATCAATTGCTGCTAGGGGCTTGCTAGGAGGAGTGGGAGGAAGGATGGTCTGGGAGAAATAGTGTCTGCTAATAGGTAAAGAGTTTCTTTTAGGGGAATAAAGATGTTTTGGCATTAAATAGTGGTTATTGTTGCACAACTCTGTGGCTAAACTAAAAACCATTAAATTGTACATTTTAAATGAGTAAATTGTTTGCTATGCGACTTGTATCTCAATAAAGTCATAAAAGAGATGAATTGGAACTAGTTAGGCAGAGACAGTTCAAAGGGTATTCTATACTTCAGAATTGCACCAATAGAACCAAAACATGGAGGAGTGAAAGAATATAGTATCTTTACTGAAGTGCAAATAGCTCAAAATGGTTGAACCACACAGTGCCAGCAGTGAGTTATGAGATGAGACTGGGAGGAGGATAAAAGCCAAAGCCTGAGGGCTTTTGTGGGGACTTTTGTGAAGTTTCCATTTGATTTGTGAAAGAAATCTGGAGTGATATCACCAAACATGCATTTTAAAACTATTATTCTACTTACTGTGGTAAGACTGAGATGAAGTGGGTAGGGAAAGAGTAGAAGCAGAGATGAGTTAGAAGACACTGCATTAATCCAGATGAGAGGTGATGATGGCTTAAATTAAAGCACTGGGAAGGGAGATAGAGGACCTGGTGGAAGACTGAGACCTAGAGGTCAGACAGACTTAGAGTACTATGTGCACATACCATATAAACCACTCAAAGAAATACATGACCTGTGCCAAATAGCACAGAAACTGGGAGAACTAAGCTTAGGGCACTAGGCTTTGTGGTGAATATATCAGGCATTTTAGCCATCATTTTCTAAGAGATACACCTAACATGGTCACCAGAATAACAAGTGTTTGATTCCCAAAACAAAAAGTGCCAAAAAGAAAAGGATTTTCTCTATTTTGTTGAATGTTGCATCCCAGTTGCTGGAATAAGGCCTGACACATAGTAGATGCTCAGTAAATACCTACTGAATATTTTTGAAAAGGCTTTTTGGAAAAGGCAAGCATCTGTGAAACCACAGGGGGCCAATGTAATCAATTACTGTTCAGGAAAAGGAAGGAGTTATTGGACTACCTACACTGCCTGAGGGCCTCCCCAGTAGGACCTGCCCCTAGTATTTAAGAGAGAGAGCAATCTTGGTGATCTGTCTGAGAGGACATAATGGAAGTCTTCCCAAAGAGCCCTGACCTCAGCCAGGAAGTCTTACAGATGCAGGCATCCCCAGGTAAGTTATGACATTTTGTTCCACATGATTGCTGTATCCTTTGGTAACAACTATTCTAGTTTCCCAGCATCTGTCAGCAATATTAGAAAGTGAAAATGGTCTTTTCCTCCTACAGTCTTTTTTTAGGTATATTTTATTGATTATGCAATTACAGTTGTCCCATTTTTTTCTGCCCTTCATTCCCCTCCACCCTACATAACCCCTCCCACCAGCATCACCCACCCCCACCTATCGCCTACTTAGTTCATGTCCATGGGTTGTACGTAAAACTTCTTTGGATTCTCCATTTCCTACAGTATTGTTAACCTCCCCTTGTCTATATTGTACCTACCATTTATGCTTCTTATTCCATGTACCTTTTCTCTCACTTTCCCCTCTCCCCCACCCTGCTGATAACCCTCCAGGTGATCTCCATTTTTGAGATTCTGTTCCTATTCTATTTGTTTGCATAGATTTTCTTTTGTTTTTAGGTTCAGTTGTTCATAGCTGTGAGTTTGTTGTCATTGTACTATTCATAGTTTTTGACCATCTTCTATTTCTTAGATAAGTCCCTTGAACATTTCATGTAATAAAGGCTTGGTGATGATGAACTCCTTTAACTTGACCTTATCTGGGAAGCACTTTATCTGCCCTTCCATTCTAAATGATAGCTTTTCTGGATAGAGTCTAACTTGGACATAGGTCCTTGCCTTTCATGGCTTCAAATACTTCTTTCCAGCCTCTTCTTGCCTGTAAGGTTTCTTTTGAAAAATCAGCTGATAGTCTAATGGGAACTCCTTTGTAGGTAACTGTCTCCTTTTCTCTTGCTCCTTTTAATATTCTCTCTTTATCTTTAATGTTAGGTAATGCAATTATGATGTGTCTTGGTGTGTTCCTCTTTGGTTGGATCCAACCGCTTTGGGACTCTCTGAGATTCCTGGACTTCCTGGAAGCCTATTTCATTTGCCAGATTAGGAAAGTTCTCCTTCATTAGGTTTTCAAATAAGTTTTCAATTTCTTGCTCTTGTTCTCCTTCTGGCACTCCTGTGATTTGGATGTTGGAACATTTAAAGTTGTCCCATAGGTTCCTAAGCCTCTCCTCATTTTTTTTTTAATTCTTGTTTCTTCATTCTGCTCTGGTTGAATGTTTATTTCTTCCTTGTTCTCTAAATCACTGATTCAAGTCCTGGCTTCCTTCCTATCACTGTTGGTTCCCTGTATATTTTTCTTTATTTCCCTTTGTATAGCCTTCACTTTTTTCTCTATTTTGTGACCATACTCAGTCATTTCTGTGAGCACCTGGATTACCAGTGTTTTGAACTCTGCATCTGATAGGTTGGCTCTCTCTTCATTGCTTAGTTTCCTTTTTGGAGTTTTGATCTGTTCTTTCATTTGGGCCATATTTCTTTGTCTCAGTGTAGTGTTTCATTGTAAGAGACAGAGGCTTAGGTATTCACCAGGGCATGGCAACCCACTTTGCTGCATTGTGGCACTGTATGTGAGGGAGTGGTCAGAGAAGGAACAATGCCACTTCCTCGGCTATTGCCCCACTTTCAATTACTTCCCCTGCTATCCACAAGCAAATTGGGCTTTTCTGGTGCTGATTCCCGGGTGGGTGGTTTTGTGTATGGGTTCTAGGACCCGTGAGTCTCTCCAATGAACTCTCCTGTGAGGCTGGGAGTTTCTTCCACTGCCTCAATGC